CAAGTACTGACACATAGATACCAATTGAAGTGTTTTCTCACTGATCGTGGAAATTCCATCAACGACCAACAATTTGGATTGTGTACCATAAAAGGAGTTCCCTTTTAAAACTATTTTACGATAAGTATGATTTCATTAGGATATCCAAGATGAACCCAATCATATTTGTTTAATCTTTTAAAAAGTATTGTCAAATAGATACCCATTGTATACATTTATTACTATTCGTGGAAACTCCAGTAACGACCATCAATTCCAATTGAGTATTATTATAGGTATGTCTGTTCGGAGTATTTAGAGAATCAGTTACGTTTAATCGGACATACCACACTGAATCTGTTTAAATTTTTTCAATAACTCAATAATCATTTACAAGTAGATACTTGTCAGAATGATTTTTAACTAATCCTGTAAATCCCAATAAGAACCAACAATTTCAATTCTGTATTTTATAGGAAATGCCTTTTTAGAATCATTAAGTCAAAACTTAGATGAAATAAGGAAGTCCAATCTAAATCCAATCACTCATTCGTTAGTACTGGATGTTCACATAGGAAATGATCACACAAATACTGACCAATAAAATTTGATACATCCCAATTGAATTCTTCAACTTTGCTATTGGTATGGGTATCTATTAGGATATACTGCGACAAAAACACAATAGATACCGATAAGTTTTTTTTTCTAATGGAATCTATTGGACGTTTTCAACAGGGAGATTTACGTCGTTCCAGATTGTAAAACAGGATACAAATCAAATGTAAAAGTAAAGAAAAGACAAGGATAAATAAATTTAATGTCTTTTTAAAGCTTCTAATGCAAGCAGAATAATGTATTTATGTCTAAATATAATATCTATTGTTAACTAGTCACAATATGTATCTTATGGAATGTAGTTTATTTTATTACAAGTTACTATAATATAAAATTTAACAGTCATAGATCCTGACTTACAAACAACAATAATTATACATTAAATTTTACTTACTAGAAAAGAAAATTTATTTAGAGTTTTAATGTTAGATAAAGAGTTGTTACTGTTATTTTTTTTGTTGAACACCAAAAGTGACATTGTAAATCTTTTTTATAGGATACTGAACGCTTAGAACAGTGGCAGCATATATATCGTTCCTAGTGCAGATAAAGCACTTTCTAGAGATGATGCTGTTCTATACTTTTTAGAAGATATCAAATATTATGAGACTATTTTTACTGATGGTACTGTTAAAAAAATAAAAAGGAGAAAGCTGAAATTAAAGGATGAGATAATACCATGTACATTCCCAAATCTCCATTTATACTTATATTACAACAATTAAAACATAGAAGACTTATTTAAAAATAAATACAACAGTATGTTCTGGGCTTTATTTAGCTATAAAAAAGTTTATTTTTATTATTTTGACAAAATTATGTATAATTCCCATAAGAAGCCATGTATTTTGAACACAGTAAGCAGTACCAGCGCCTATGCGGTTAATTATAAAAGCTCAATTAGAGTACGTTTTTTGGAACCATATTTTGAGTATGCCGATTCGCCTCCTTATCTCTAGTCTTCATAATTATAACCTGTCTTTTCTGCGGCTAGTTCTAGCTTGTGGCTTGTTAGCCATCTGGTGATGCGCCTCAGAAGCCTATATTTTTCGTTCCTTCTAGTTCCAAAGCAACCTGCGATGGCTTCAGGTTAGGTAAATTGGTAAATTTTATTTTAATTTTAATTAGAATACCGGAATATTCTGACACGCACTTTTATGTTCTGCGCTATTTTGTCTTGCGTTAGTTTGTCCTTGCGCTATTTTGTCCTGCGCCATTTTGTTCTGCGCTGTTTTCTCATGGAGCCGCTTTTAATGACTCCAATTTATTTTTTGATTAGTAAGGTACCATTGGGTAGATCGTATACTTATTATGGCGACCGTGACAGGACAACTCACTGCATTCTTGGTCCGTTTGCCGAAGCAGAACGACTTATTTGACTTAATTTGGACAGACGTTCATTTCGGAACGTACGGTTTAAATACCGAACATAGATATATCTAGCGATCATCAGTTTGTGCATATAACACATTTATTTCAATAGAACTAAAAACGTCCGTTTACGAACGGACGTTCACAAACGCAGTGCATAAAACTAGCCTAATTAAAACGCTTATAACAATAAACAATCTTATTTACAGTAATAGATTGAACATTCGAAAATGAATGAATGTGTTAACAAAATATAATTCTAATTATCCAGTCTCATTTTCAACGACAGCTACTATACATTAATGAACGAACTTTGGGTTTCACACTTGGCAATTCTGAGGTTACAATAAGAAATGTTAAAAAGCCAACAATGGCGCTATGATTGAACAATTAAAATTGTTATAAAACTGATTTGTTATGTAGTTAGCAAAGTTTTTAATATTTTTGTCTATGCCCACACAATGGACATTAGCAATAGATGGCAGCAAGCTCCATCTAGTCCAAGTTATGCCTTTGATAATTTTATCTTCTACCTAACCATCGAACGGTTATTGTAACCCCCGTTCCCATTTCCCACTTAAGATTCCTGCAAAGGCACAATATGTGAATAGAAATTTCGTCCTCCTTTTTACGTAGTATACATAGGGTCTCGACAAATATCCCTAAGAGATTTTTAGGTGTCTTTTGAGATCGCAGTGTTCCGTAAAGAGTTCTAGTAAGGCCTTTAGTTCGCTCCTGCTAACGTTTAGCAGTTGATTTTGTCTGCTCCTGAATGGATTTCTCTATGAATATTCTGGATTAAGTCCAGGAAGTTCCAACCAGAGCCTATGGTGTTCTCTATTTATCTGTTTCGTTAGCACCCGTTTAACGTGAGTTCTGGTCCAGTTAGAGTTTTCTCAGCTCCCTTTCTGGCTAGGAGATGTTTCCTCGTTTTCCGACACTCCATCATGTTCCGACATCCATTCAAGATTGATTTATTATATTCTGCCAGGGCCTGGAGTAACTGATGTTGGCAATCAAATATTAATTTAGATTGTACTTCTGCCCTTGTAAAAATGCTTTAATAAGGGCTGCCTGACTGTCATAATAAATACCCTCTTACATTTAAAAGAGTCATTTAGTACAACCTTGGCGCAGGCATTTATTGCTGTTACTTTAGCCTGGAAGACTGTTTTCAGCAGTGAAGACTTATCGTTAAAGACTTTGGGTGTTCTGTAAGATTCTGCCTCCCCTCCAAAAAGCTATTATTATTTTACAGCTTTAACTTACATACTTTTCATACATTAATTACATTCTGCCGTCTTTTTGATCAGAAAACTTATATAGTCTAAGCGACAGACTCAAAAATCGGGTAAAATGAAGCAAATTGGGTTAAAACAAATAACTACACTATTTTACGTCATTTGACCCGCAGCTTCTCAAATTTCACGCCCTATGGCGGAAATTCGGGATTTTTTGTAATAAAAGCGTTAATAGACGTCATAAAACGACGCAATTTCTAAATGTTGATCAAATGTGCGTTGAACAGCCACTATTCACCATAGCAAACATTTTGCAGTGTGATACTGGTCTGACTTATATGCCGAAAAACCGTGAATCTGGATTACGAAACAAGATCTACCAACAAATGGTATATTTTGTTGTAATAAATCTATAATTTTACTTCGTTTACAGTATTATCAGGTTGTTGTCTCTAATTCCCATAAGATGTCATCAATCACCAAGGTCCACATGAATGGATATAAAATTCCTCCTGCGGGCATTCCTTGCTGAGGTCTCTGGAAGATATTACTGGTAATGGTTCTATGATTAAGTAAGAACCCAACACACTATGCACAGAGCTCAGTATTGAATTGTACGAGGCCGAATTAAAGGCTCCTTCTATGTCTAGGAACACTCCTAGTGCTATTTCTTTACTTTTCAATGCTGGTTCAGCCTTTTAAGCTAGCTTAAGTATAGCTGCATCGTCAGACTTTCTAGATTGGTAGGCAAACTGGTATCGATGTATCGGGTTATCCTGTAAAACACCGTCCTGTATGTATCTATCGATCAATTTCTCCAAGGTTCTTAGAAGATATGATGTTAGCCTGATTGGTCTGAAAAATGTGGTCTCTGCTCTTAAGCAGATTTAGCAGACTTCCAGCTTTGTGGAATATATCCGAGGGCTATGCTAGCTCGAAATAGTTTATTTTATCTTAATAACATTCATTTTTAAAATGTTGTAGATGTTTGTTAGTGTGGATCTTAAAAAATTATACTGTACAACTCGAGTGGCTTGTTTGTATCGCACTCATAATATTACTGTTTACTTATTGAATTTTGAACATATATAAAATTACTGGTTTTCTGCTTCTATTCTTGCCATATACCATTCAAAATCCATTTCTTATATTGTTTAAAATTAAATTATAATTTTCTTTTCGAATGAAATGGAGTATTGGTAGCAATAGGTATTTTCAATATCGACCTATCCTACTATCGAATGATTTTTTTTTTTTGTTTAGATTGCATTTGAAAATTTACAAAGCTCAGTATACATATAACACTAATGGTGCTTCCGTACTAAATGTATGTAAGTTTTTTCGTTAAAAAATAATTGTCTTGTTCAATCACAGCCCAAAATATCCCCGATTTATTAATTTTAACGGGTTGTTAGCTTTAAAAAAAATGTTATCAAGCCATTTACCTCGATCGTTTGTGGTAAAGACACACTAATTGAAATATCTTCTAAAGTCTGCACTATTGCTTCCGTAACGCTAGTAATAAACCAAGCTTTAGATTTTGTTAAACTACTTGTTGCCAAAGCTTCCTCATTCTCACAATTTGTTAATGAAACAGATCTATCGGGTTCAAATTTCTCAGTCTGTTAAAAGAATATCAGGATTTTTACAAGGAAACGTCTAAAATACGAATTTGTCATTTGTTTATTGTTATTTTCTATTGTAGTATGACAAACTTTATGATTTCATTATGTTAGTAGATATCTAACATCCGCAATATGTGGACTACCGTTAATATTACAGAATACGTACCAATTGAGCTGCTAGACGATGTTTTTGCCTGGCTAATTCCAAACTAAGGGATTTAGCATTAAGAACTAATTTGTTTTTCTTTGTAGAAAATTCTACGTTTGTTCCTGAGTGCGTGTCACAACCTTCGGTCATAGGTACGGGGATTCCCACAAAAGATTCACTTAAGGTGCGTTTTAAAATTGATCCTGAAAATAATATTTTTAGATATAATTTATCTAAATAAATGTAGGTTTTCTTTATATTTAGAAATAATAATATCACGTCTTTCTTTTTGAATAAATATATTTTGACAAGTTTTAATCTACTGTTAATTAAACATCACATTCAACAAAACCTTAAGCCTATTTTGCACTCTCCGTCATAGGTGAATTTTGAAAATAAACCGATTCAAATACTAAAGCTGCAGTTATAATTCTTATCTAAAATTATTCATGGTCCCTCGAACCGGATACTTGAAAACTTATTTTTTTGTTATAGTGTTTCACGAAAATCAAAACAATTAATAATTATATGTTTACTATAAATTATCAAAGAAAGGAAAACTAAATAACTCAGATTTGTTAAAAATGTTACATTTTGTGACGATGAAATTTTTAATATTTGTTCTTATTGATATTAAAAAGATAAATTTTAATTTGGTACCTGCAAATCGGACAACGGCTAATTCTCTTGCATCTAGCTCCTTTCTGGTTCCAGCTTCCGTTTCTAAAAGGGGATTTTCTAACCATTTCGAAAATTGTTCGTATACTTCTTCTAATTCAGAACTGAAAACACATTTGTTACTAATATTTCAATAGGTATTTAGTTTTTAATTACCTATAATCTGTACTAAAACTATATTCGGACGATCTATTCGATTCTTTCCTATTCAAAACAGAAGACTGTTTGCTTCGAAATTTATCTATCCATTCTTTTTCTTGATTTAAGGAATTTTCTAAAAAATTGTCATCGAAGGAGTCCTCGTTTAAAGCAAAGCCTGTCGAACCACCTCTTTTTACCCTAAAATACAAAACTGTTGTATTTGCAAAATTAAATTTGATCTGTATTATTTCAGACATACGGTATATAAAATGTGACTTGTCATTTTTGAGTTTTTGTAAAAGTCAGTCGGAGTTTTTTGGATATATTTTGGCTATAGTTATTTAGATAAAAACTTCTTGTTGAAATTTTTCATTGGTTTCTCTAGTCACTACCCTCAACGTTTAACAGGTTATGGGCCCAGGTTGCGTTAAATCCTAAGGTGAGTGACGCAACGAAGTTTTGTGTTTAAGTATCTTTTGAGAAGTTCAAACCTCACATCGATAAATTAGGAGGAGCGTCGAACTGTACTACATAGCGTCGCCAAATTAAGTTATGTCATCAAGAAGTGTTCGGGTTAGTCGTAGGTGATACCAAGATTCCTGATGAACCAGATGGAAATGCAACTAGTTGTCTACGCCTATGTCGTCTAAGAACGATTGATTACCAGAGATTTTGAAGTGACACTTAGAATTAATTAATATAATTTTGAATCACGCTTGTCAATCACTTTTTATGTTATTTCATAGTGATTCTTAAAATAAAGAATTTTAAATAAGTACAGTCCACAGTCAATGCTCTACGATCAACATTGGACCTTCTCCCGGATATTTAACAGTTACATAATATAGAAGACGTACAAAGATTCGGTAAGCCATAAGGAGGTGAGTCATTCCTATAACCCTTTCCCACATCCTATATATAAGCACGCTTCAACCTTTTTTACCCCTTTATTACAAAGTTTCAATAAATAGGTGATAATTCCTCATGGCAGAACTTGCAAAATTAATAAGAAAAAGAGGTTTTATAAAATCATCCTTAACTATTTTTGGAAATTTTCTAAACAACGTTAAAGGTTTGCCATCTATAAATTCAACCGATGTTATTTCTATTCAAGATCGACTTGAACATTCACAAAATTTATTAACACAATTTAATGAAATTCAATATGAAATTGAAGCTCTTGATAATTCAGAAGAGCAGCTAGAAGAAAAGGTAAATTTTACAGATAAATTTTATGCTTTTACATCGTTAGCTAAAACTATAATAAAGGATTATAATCAAGATGCTGGTAGTACTAATACTAATATTCCAATTGGCAGTTGCAACGATTCTCATTCGTCATCAGCCCCAGATATAAAACTACCAGATATAGTTTTGCCAAAATTTGATGGCACATATGACAATTGGTTGGAGTTCAAGGACACCTTTGAGTGTCTTATTCATTCTAGAAATCAAATGTCAGACATGCAAAAATTTTATTACCTTAGGGGTGCGCTAGAAGGCAAGGCAAAGAATGCTATCTGTAGTATTAAATACACTTCGGCAAATTATTGCGTAGCTTGGAAAACTCTATGCAATCGATACGACAATAAGAAAAAACTTGTTTTTGAACATATCAAAACTTTGTTTTCTATAGATTCAATACATAGGGCTACATCCGAAAATTTGCAATCCTTAGTGGATAACTTAATCAAGCAATTGGGGGCTATAGAACAATTAGGCCAGTCCATTTCGAATTGGGACCCATTAATAATTTTTTGGGTTAGTTCTAAATTAGATAAGGCCACTATATGTGAATGGGAAAGACTCACTCGCGATACTACTTCGTGTCAGGAAATTAACGATTTTTTAAAATTTTTAGAGAATCGTGCTAACCTCTTAGAAAGTTTTGAGTTTAAATTTAAACCAAATTCACAAAAGCCTACAACTCCCATATCTAAAATTGACAATAAATTTGTCAAAAGAGAAGTAGCACGATCCTTTGTATCATCAAGTTATACCTGTGGTTATTGTAAGAAGGATCATTCCATATATACATGCGAATCTTTTCTTAAGTTGTCCGTTACCGATAGATTCAATTTTATAAGCAAATCTAATTTATGCAAAAATTGCCTGCGAGAAGGGCATCCTATTTCTAAATGCCGAGCAGGGTCATGTAAAAAATGTAACTCTAGACACAATACTTTATTGCACAAAGTTCAATCAAAATCAAGTCAATCTGACACAGAGTCGACTCAAGAGCAAACTGATCCGCCTTCTACAACTCTATTAAATAGTTGTGGGTCAATTCCTACTAATTCACAAGTTCTCTTGTCGACTGCTATCATTTTGGTGAAAGATTGTCTTGGTAAATATCAAAAGATTCGAGCTCTGCTAGACTGCGGATCTCAAACATCGTTCATTTCTGAAAAGGCTTCAAATAGGTTAGGTCTTCTTAAGAAAAATGCAAATTTAACGCTTTTTGGTATAACTTGCAATATAAATGAAGTCAATAAAAAATGTCACATACAAATAAAATCTGCTAATTCTGATTTTATTGCGAATATTACTTGCTTTATTTTGCCTAAAATAACTAGTGACATGCCGCAATTTACAATAACTTTAAACAAACTCAACATTCCCGATGAATTATCCTTAGCTGATCCACAATTTAATATTTCCGCACCCATTGACATACTATTAGGTGCCGATATATTTTGGAAATTATTAAAGTCAGAAAATATTAGCTTAGGGAAATATCTTCCAACTTTACAAAATTCTGAACTAGGTTGGCTAGTTTCAGGACCAGTAGGATATCATGAGCAAAAACGAGCTATTTGTAACCTTTCTATAGTCGATAGAAATTTATCCAATATTTTATTAAAATTTTGGGAGCTAGAAGAGTTACCTTCATCTAAATTACTATCACCAGATGAAATTGAATGTGAAAACATCTTTTTCAATACAACTAAACGAAAAGCAAACGGTAGATTCGTAGTGCAATTGCCTCTTAAAGGTAGTACCAATAGTTTGGGCGAATCTAAATCAATAGCACAAAAAAGATTCTATAATCTCGAGAAAAGGTTATCACAGAATGAACAATTGCGCACGATGTATACATGCTTCATGAAAGAATATAAATCCTTAGGACATATGTCATTATCACTAGGTAATGGTAATCAAAATAAACCTCAATATTATATGCCTCATCATGGGGTGCTTAAAGAGGAAAGTTTGACCACAAAACTGCGCGTGGTGTTTGATGCATCTGCGCCTACATCGAGTGGAGTCTCTCTTAACGACATTCAATATGTTGGACCCACCATACAAAATGATCTATATACAATATTATTACGTTTTCGAAAACATAAATTTGTATTATCATCTGATATCGCTAAAATGTACAGGCAAGTTGAAGTAGATCCTAACCAAAGGAATCTGCAAAAGATTCTTTGGAGAGAGAATCCTACAAAACCACTCTCTGAATACACATTAAATACGGTCACCTATGGCCAGGCCGCAGCTAGTTTTTTGGCCATACGTTGCTTATTTTCATTAGCCGATGAAAGCGCAAAAGACTATCCTGAGATCGCAAGAATCATAAGAGAAGACTTTTACGTAGATGATTTGCTCACCGGAGCCGATACGATTCAAGATGCCACGCGAATTTGTCATGATATTTCTAAAATTTTAAAACGCGGATGTTTCGAACTGCGAAAATGGGCTTCTAATGAACCAATTATTTTTCAACACATGCAGGTTAATCAACCTTGTGGCGTTCTAGATTTTTCCTCTGATCAATATGCTAAGACCCTTGGTCTTACATGGTCAACTCAAAAGGATATCTTGGTGTATAATATAAATAATGAGGATTATAATAAGCATCAAAAATACACCAAAAGAAATATTCTATCCTGTATATCAAGAATTTTCGATCCATTGGGTCTTCTAAGTCCCTGCATTATATTTGTCAAAATTATCATGCAAAAATTATGGGCAGAGAAGATATCGTGGGATGATCCTATACCCTTTCATTTACAAAATGCTTGGTCCAACTTTCAATGCGAACTTCCATTATTAGGTAAACTTCTCATACCTCGACGTGTGATTTGCGATAGTCCTATTAAACTGGAATTGCATGGGTTCGCGGATTCATCAGAACGTGCCTTTGGAGCATGCGTTTATGTTAAAAGTATTAATTCTGAAGGAATCGTTCAGATCAGCCTTCTAAGTGCGAAGTCTAAAGTAGCACCTATAAAAACTTTAAGCATTCCACGATTAGAGCTATGCGCAACTTTATTATTAGCTAAGCTTGTTACAACGATCAATAAATCGTTGAACATTAATTTCAATAAGCAATTTTTATGGACCGATTCTACAATAGTTCTTGCATGGATAAAAATGAGTCCTGGTAATTTAAGGACATTTGTCGCCAACAGAGTTTCCAAAATACAGATTTTAACTAAAAACTTTGAATGGAGGCATGTCGCAACTCACAAAAATCCCGCCGACATGGTGTCCAGAGGAGTATATCCTAGTCAACTCCATAACTTGGACATTTATTGGTTCGGTCCTAAGTGGTTAGCATCAAATGAAATTAACTATCCAAATAATTCAAACAATCCAGACGAGGTGCCTGAACTAAAATCTAACATTTTTTTGTGTCAAATAAAATATGATTTTCCATTTAATAAATTTTCCAAGTATTCACGTTTGCTCAGAGCTATAGCATATATATTAAGATTTAAACACAATTGTCTTAATAAAGGCAACCAATTAAAAGGTTGTCTAACAGCACAAGAATTAAATCATTCTTTAACAACAATCATTAAAATCGTTCAAGCTCAATCATTTCCTTATGAAATTTCAGCACTTAAAGCTAATAAGCCTCATAAACTCAAAGGACAAATTATGAGTCTATACTTAGAGTAGGAGGACGATTGAAACATTCTTACTATCCCTTCAATAAAAAGCATCCAATATTACTAGACTCTAAACATCATTTTACAAAGCTGTTATTTCAATTTAAGCATGAGGAATTGCTACATCCAGGACCCCAATCACTTCTATACAATATTAGAGACACTTATTAGCCAATAAAGGGGCGTAATCTAGCAAGGTCTGTAGTTCACAATTGCTTGAGGTGTTTTCATTTTAAACCGAACTCGATAACACCGATAATGGGTAATTTACCTTCTGAACGTGTCGTCCCTTCTAGC